TGTCAAGTTTCCACTTGTATACTTCAATTGAGCGGGTTCTTAACACTTTTTCTCTTCGAAAAATCTTGAAACCTCATTTTACAGAAAACTGAGTTTTCAAGCTAATCAAAGATTTTTTGAAGAGCAAAAGCAATCACCTGCTCAATTCTTCTATAAAAGTGGAATATTCACATACAATTTTAGAGCTGTACTTTTATTTGTCAACAAGTTATGATTGAAGAAACGATGCATAAGGAAAAGCACAAAAATGCATTTGTTGACAAAAAACAAAGTGATAAAATATGTTTTTTAGACGAAAAGTATTAAGAATACTAGTTCAGACAGGTCGTGAATAAAAGGGACGATGAGCTTAGGCAACACATCTGACGATGAATACAGGATTCGCCAAATATTAATTGTGTTAGATTTATTGGAATATTGGAAATAATGAGAATGTGGAGATTTTAAGAAAAAAATGAGTAGCCGAGAACTAATGAGGAAAACGAGTCAGTAGACACTATGCTCTACCCTCAAAGGGATCATAGTTTCGTATTTATTCCTGTTCCAAAATATAGCATAAACGTATGGTTGAAATTGAAATATGGGTTTCACAAGAAAACAGTTAGAAATACAATGACATCGTAGTAATATGAACTGTTGATACTAGCTGTAAAATTACTAGGTACTGCTGTATTACTTGGTACTTCCACAGTGTAACGCATAAAGTAATGGTTAATTATAACAAAGCATTTTAAGACAAAATGACTACAAAATACTCAAAAACGGATTCCATTTGATTCTGATAAAAAATAAGAACTTTCTCAAAAAGTATGTTTTACGTAATATTGTAATGCGTTGCATCATCTATTCTACACGTTCGCAAAATGTAGCTGGAACTTATTCATAAAAAAAAGAACCCTACATACATACATTTGAAATATAGGCGCCGAAGCCGGACCTATAGTGAAAATTGTCAATCATCCATTTTCCATTTCCATTCCTTTAGCACGAATTTATAGTCAACTTAAAACAGATACTCTAGAACTCCATTTATTTTTATTAGTTTTTATCATTAGCTTCAACGCAAAGAATCATAATTTCATCTAACAACGAATGTGATCTGTGCCCGGAATAACTATTGATGCCTCACTTAAAACTTAACACTCAAATATTTGCATTACAACAATTGAAAAGCAGCATGAGTAGGAAATGCCTACTTTGCACGTTTTCATTCACATCTCACTTACAGCATATAATTTAATTGCTTTAATGATGAGGGTGTTCAACTTGCAGAAAGGGGTGGTTAGTATCTGTAGAACACTGTAAACCTATGTTCAGAAATATAAGAATAATGCAACTGCCATATTCTATGCATTACATATTCTTCAGAAAGTTGGAAAGTATAATGGATATTATTATTCCGAACTCCAATACTACTCAACCAAGAGAGCAAGAGTGCTGAGACCTCGTAGGCTCAGGTTAACAGTTTCCGCTCGCACTTCCTTGAACCAGAACCTATATATTATAATAAACTACCTGCAGGCATACCTGCGATGAACAAAACAAAAGTATATTGCTCAGCGAGTGTTTCTACAACACACGCTGAGTTTTTAAACTACATGTTTAGCTTACTTTGTATTTGATTATGTGCCTCTGTTTTTACTCATTTATGTTTTGATTAATTTATGTTTATACATGCCTTGCTATTTTTGTATACAGGGTCCGTCAGAAAGAACGCATGTTTTTTAAATGACTAGTACAGTCAAAATAAGTATGGCAAAATATATGTTAGTATATCAAAATATCCAGAAATACATGCCATTTTTTGAGTAAAACAAAATTTACGTTCTAAAAACTTTGTCGGCCAGATGGCGCCCTTGAGCCGAAATGCAGGAATCAAGCTTCTCCCGAAATGAGCCCATTGCGTCGGACAACATCCGTGCAGGAATTTCGGTTGCTTCTATTCTTATTTCCTCCTTCAAATCGACGAGGGTCCGAGACTTGCTTTGGTAAACTTTTGATTTCAGGTAGCCCCATAAAAAAATCACACGTTCACAGGTCAGGGGAGCGAGGGGAGCATGGAATATCGCCATGACGTTGAATGAGACGTCCTAGGAATTGGAGACTGGAGACCAATATCGACAATTTTGTTTATTGACGTATCTAGGTAAATGAAAATACGCTTCATCACTCATAAACAACGTCATGTCATTGTTATCCAACTGTTCAATCTTGAGCTATGCAAAATTAACACGTTGTGCATAATCCCCTTGACAAACTTAGATTTTGTAAGGATGGAACAGTAAATCCTTCTTCATGATGCGACGTACAGAGGACGCGTGGATCCCTAGGGAACTGGCACGCAAACGGACAGAACGATTCGGGCTTTGCAGCGTGTCAACTCTCACTCTGTCTACGTTTTCGGGGGTTCTAACAGTGCGGTTTCGCACTGGCGGTTTTTTCTTCATCACATTACCTGTTGTGTTGAAAGCTTTCACCCATCTCAAAACGGTGTTACGGTCTGGTACTGTCCCATGACGTGGAACGCAAAACTCACGTGGCGTTCGAACGACAGACTCGCCATTTTGAAAGTGCCGCCGTACAGTGAACACACGATGCTCAACGTTCGTAACCATCTTGCCAATTGAAACGGCACTTCCTCCTTTCCCCACCGACACGGGACTAGCCCACTCGATGTAGTACCCATTCGAAAAACATGCGTTATTTCAGACGGACCCTGTACATTGTTGAATACGTTCCTCCGGTTCCTTGTATTCTGACTTAGTATATACACATTCTATGTATTAAATGATCAATAAATTTTATAATTATTACAATTATCCTTTTCGAGTTTGATGTGATTTCACAAAAGTAGTGAATAGCAGATTTAGGCAACTGAAGGGGTCCAGTTTGTGCAACTAAAACCAAAAACTTGTTAATAAATAAAACTTCAAACAAGTAAATGAATCAATTTCATGGGAAAAGCAAACTTAAGATTTCGTCATCAAGAAAATATAACAGGTACCTATAAAGGGTTAGTATCTAAGAATAATAATGAAACTTGCACCACTGTGACGAACAGGCAAAATGTGAGGACAGCTGGGCATCTGCTCCCGTATGGTTTGGTAAATGCCTAAGCTACTATTTACACTGAGCAGTAATGGTATCAAAGAATGCAGCGTTCAAGACACCAGGTATACGTTTAAAGTGAGGAGTCCGATTTAGTCACTTTCCTCTATTTGCAATAGTCACCTATATTGGAAAAGTTCTCGCTTGAACAGTATTTTATTATACACGCAAACGTGTAAATGTAATAACTCATCAAACAAAATTCAATTTGTTTTTATCTCATGTTTACGACAAACAATTAATTAACATTATAAAAGATTTACTAGTTTTGCAAATATCCGAATGAAAAACATATTGGTAATATATAATCAAACTCACTTATGATGATTCTAGTTTATTTATCAAATGTATTTAAATAGGAACATAAAATTCAATAGCAGCAACATAAAATGCAAAATATATAAATACACGACCTTCTACCCCAAAACGATTTCTGATAAATATTTTTTAAATTCGAGTTAAGAAAACAGAGTGACACCTCCTCACACCTCATTTTTTTGCGCATTACGCACTCTACGCAACGTACCACAAAATCGACCAAACCAACCGATGACACCCCTGAGAAAATCTATCACAAGCTAATCCGTAAACGATTGATCCACATTATCTGTCAAACATTCATCCATAAATCACAAAAAAAAAACATGGATATCACCAGAGACCGGTACCCGTAGGTGCGTATTTCGTAGGTGGTAAATTTGGCAACGTCGCCGGCGTGCCGTAGTCGCGTCGACGGAGACGGTCGCGGTTTGACTGGCCGCCGTCTCGGCAACGTTGCCAATGTGACTGCCGACGACGCCACGCGACGCCGACGCGGCCCCAGCCGAAAAACACCGGAGAATTTCGATGGAATAGGCCGAGAAAGTTAGGATGCTGAACGAAATTCAATTCATCTTCATACAATATACTTTTACTAGTACATTTCATGGTTTTTGGCCAGTCACATTGAAACTACCTGCATCACTTTTCAACCTCAAATTCTTTATTATCCTGAGAGTCGTTACAATGTAAGTATAGGATTCGTCAGAAAAAATTAATAAAACAACACAAATATGTATCAAAGAAACAGACAAATCATAAAATAACAAACTCAGAGACGCAAGTACAAAGGGTTAATATAAAGGTTTTGCAATACTGCTTTATTTATTGACTTCGTTTAAAGTAATTTCCACTCACAATACACTGGTTGTGCCAAGCACTCAGAAGGTCCACCTAGCTAGAAAACCGTTTTCCTTTTAGCTTCATTTTCACATGCGGAAACAGTGCAACGTCGCAGGGAGCAAGATCTGGACTGTAAGGAGGGTGTCCATGCTTGACTTTGGCCGCAAGTTTTTCATAGACTCTCTGACTCTAGGCAGGCACTGTTCCGTGTACCACTTAGCTGTGACAGTCTTCTGTGTGTCCAAAACGACACGCTCCACAATTCCGCTCGATTTGAAAATTACAGCTTCATTTTTTTCTCGACGGATCGGGTTTTTCTGACAGCTACGGGTGTGTTCTCGTCATCAAAGATCCAAACTTTGTTTTGAGCCTTTTTGAGCCAAGTGTTGTCACCTGTTACGATGCTGTTCACATGCCCCTTATCAAACATTTTCAGCATCTTACCGCACCAAGTCTTACGACGAGCCTTCTGCTCTTCCGTCAGTCTATGCAGTATCCAGAGACAATGGTCATGCAGAATTGAATGAATTGCTGGTGCATAAAGGTGTAAGGTCTCCTCTATCTGTTGGTATGTCACTCTCCGGTCTTCGTCAAGTATTTTCCTCACAGCAGTAATGTTTTCCTCTGTTACTGACGTTCGCGGCCTTTCTTCCCTCTCAGCGTCCTCCAGGGTGAAATTGTCCCTTTGGAATTCTCTGTACCACCTAAATATAGTCGTACGATGAGGACAATCATTCTTTGATGCAAGCGTCATTTCTTCTAAGCACTGGTCTATACTCAAACCACTCGTAAAGTTATACCGTAAAACTGCCCTTATCTCACTACGTGGCCACGTTGCCGTAGCCCGCACTTTACAGTGTCAGTAGGAATGAACAACTAAATCAAGGACGTACTGCTGGCGACTACTATGCACTTATGGACATGTTTCAACATGCAGTAACATGCAGCCTACTGCGTCCGTTTGTTAAGTCACATTGCAAAACTTATATAGTGCCCTTTGTATGTACTGGGTGCGCCATCTATTACTTTTTTTTACCTATAAGTTTGTGTTATAAATGAACTGTCAAAGGTATGCCATTTATAGTCATGGATTCGTTTACAACACAACAACGCATTTTGGTTATCCAAACTTATTACGAAAATGGTCGAAATATAAAAAATACTTTTCGCAAACTTCGCACTAGTTTTGGGCGACATGAACGCCCTACAGAGCCTGGAATTCGTTGGATTGTTAATCGTTTTGAGGAAACTGGTTCAACTGAAGGTCGTAAACCATATCAACATGGTCGTCCAGCTCGTACTCGTGAAAATATAGCCGCAGTGAGTGAAAGTGTGCGAGAAGAACCAACCACCTCGACTAGGCACCGTTCGCAACAATGGGGAATTAGTGAGACCACTTTACGCCGGATTTTGCACACCTCCATCCATACAAAGTCCAACTAAACACAAGAATTGAAGCTGGCAGACCATCAACAGCGGCGTGTTTTTGTTAATTGGATGCTGGAAAGAGAAGACGGATTTTCGGCCAAAGTGCTCTTTTCTGATGATCATTTTTACCTCAATGAGTACCTAAAAAAGCAAAATTGCAGATTCTGGGGGGCTGAAGATCTACACCAATATCATGAACAACCTCTCCATCCTGAAAAAGTGACTGTTTGGTGCGGATTATGGGCTGGTGGCATCGTTGAACCACTCTTCTTTGAAGAAAGGCCATTACCGTCAACGGGAAACGTTAACGTGGCACGTTAACAGACTTTTTGTGGCCACAATTGGATCGTATTGGTGCCGACGATCTTTGGTATCATCAAGATGGCGCAACGGCTCACACATCTCGCCAAACAATCGCCTTATTGCACACGAAAGTTCAAGACCGCATAATTTCACGAAATTCAGATGTTAGTTGGCCCCCGAGAAGGTGCGATTTAACACCTCTTGACTATTTTCCTTGGGGATTTTTGAAAGGAAAAGTGTACGCGAATGGTCCCCGGACAATTCAAGACCTAAAGCGCAATATTCGGACTGAAATTGCGGCCATAGACACCCGATTATTCTGGGAAAAGTCATTGAAAATATTGATGTTCCGATGTTGGCGAAGCCGCGGTGGTCACATGACTGATGTTATTTTTCATACATAAATGACATAAACCAACCTTCATTTATCAATAAAAAAATTCGATTTTACCTCGTAAAAAGCGTGTTGATTTTTCAAATAAAAAAAAGTAATAGATGACGCACCCTGTATAAAACAGACAAGTCAATCATAAAATAACAAACTCAGAGACGCAAGTGGGTTGCAGACAATGGAAGGTCTACTCGATATCCTACCGTTGTATCTAGTGATCCGCGGAGAGGCGAGAGTAATCATACATCGGCTGTGGCAAAGGGAGGATCCTGTTCTTCTGAGCAGGGGTTATCTGATCACCCCTGAATATCGCGTTAACCGCAAGATAAATGTCGAGGCCGAAGTGAGACTCTGAAGCCTGAAGGTCTGGTACACGGACGACTCGGATACTGAAGAGGGCCCTGGCGCCGGAGTCTTTAGGCCTAGAACTATGATATATCTGTCTCTCGGCGCATACTCCACTATATTCCAGGCGGAAACGTATGCGATTCTGGATTGCGTATCCCGCATTTTGGAGGGAGAAACGCCTGGGAGAAGAATAACAATCTTTTCCTATAGCCAGGCCGCGGTGAAGGCACTCAATGCCTGCAAGAATACTTCAAGACTTGGATTGCAATGCAGGGAGACTCTGGATTGTCTACCAGCGAGGCATGCGTTGTCGTTTGTATGGATACCGGGACAGACTGTGATAAAGAGCAATGATATTACGGACGCTCTTGTGAAAGCAGGATCAGCGAGCAAGCTTGTTGGCCCTGAGCCAGCCCTATAGGTCCCCGCGCAAATAGTCAGAAGGACAATGGATTGCAAGTCAACACTCTCAGAAATGGAGAATCTACACATCTCCATCAAGCAAGGGAGCTCATTGTAGGGCCCAGTGTTAAGGATGGACGCTTTTGCTTATCTTTTAATAGAGTCAACCTAAGGTTGTTGGTGGGACTGTTGTCTGGTCATAACACGTTGAGGCGCCACCTGCATATGATGGGGGTGGCTGAGAATATCATGTGTGAGCGCTGCGGGGTTGAGGAAGAGTCTTTGGCTGATGTTCTGCCGCTATGAGGCTCTGTGCTACTTAAGGCGGAATATTCTTGGGTGCATCACTCTGGATCCCCAGAATGTTGAGGAGCTGGGACTCAGGGCTATACTCAACTTTGCTAGAAGGGCTGAGCTTGAGGCTTAGGGAATGTAGGGGTGCATAACGGCGCCCCACATAAATTTAAACGTACCAACGGATCTTGTTCCACTCAACCATAACACAATTAAGTAAAAAATATTCTTGAAATCATGGTGGATGTGTGCTGGTTAATATGCTTCCAAAATTTGTCTTAATTTTGGTGGATGTGCTCGACGATAAACTAAATATTTGTCCAGTTTTGGGATTGAACATTTACACTTACTTTTCAGAGAATCGTAAATTTTGGAGCTTTCGAAGAAACCGGAAGAGTTTTTTATGTAAAAAACCTATATAATATGGAAAAAAAAACGACAAAAAAAGCTCCTAGGGTGGAAATTCATTCGCTCTTTCTCTCTAGTCACCCATAGCATCATCTTTGAAAGAAAGAAAATTAGTTGAGTAGCAGAGCAGCAAGATCGCATCCGGATGATCGTATGGTGATTGTGTGTATTGGTCTGCATATGTATAAAATCAGGCATATTTGCTATGTGAGAAAATTATTACAGACTATACTGCCCATGAAGTATATCTATTACCTGTGTTATTTGTATTGTCCTTTATGAAGAGAGGTTATGTTCAAAGTTATAAATTACGATTTTCCTCGTTTTTTTGCGTTTCCAAAAACTTTGAGAAGCATAACAGAAAACCATGCTTAATTAAGCTACATCACAGAAAAATTAAGAATGTCGCATCACACACATTTTCGCGGTACCTCACATCTAGGCGCTCATTTGTATCTTCTACTTGACATCACAGAATAAATTTCTATATTATTTAAATGAGCGGAAATAAAAAATAATGCATAATGCGATAACATTTTCACGTTTCATGTCTGTAGCCTATTTTCTCACCTATTGGTTGCAATATACTTCACCAACCTTTTTTATATTCTCATTTTTAAAATTCTGCAAATTTTCATAAATGTGTCTTAAGGCATACATCTCAAGTAAGTGTATTTGAGACAAGAAACGAAGGAAGTTATCATCAACACGGATTATTAGCATTCAAACACTTAGCATGCACTCCAGTTTCGCCCGTTTTCTTCCAGCTATAGTATACAACTTACAGCTTAGACCTCCCATAATGCCGTCTCTGAAGCAGATGTTACAAGACATCAGAGCCATACCATGATAGCTCAACGGTCGATATGCACCAAAATAACGTTAGCTTTTTTTACTATTTTGATCTCTTACCAGTAATTTGAATTTCTCTTTATTGATTATAGAGTGCCCTTTTTAACGATTTTCTTTTGGCAATTTTCATAGTTTATTGATTGTATAATTTTACACGTAAATATCTTCCTTTCTCAGCGATTCAGTATTGTATTGAAATCTTTTGGACACTAATGTTATAGTATTTTTAACGACTATCTTCGAAATTTCCTCATGAAATACCATTGCACCATCGTAGAGTTAGTTCTGCCCATTGGCAGCGGCAACTTGTGATTTCCGTACGTACTAGCCGTATAAGGATATTGATACCTTCTTGGAGGCCACTCATTTCAACTTCTTTTAATGTTTACTTTCCGATCAAGATGCCTTGTTGTTGTTTTGGTTGTGTGTGGGCGTTGTTTCATTAATTTCCAGATTCTGGAGTTTTAGACCCCCAAACACGAATTTATGGGGTAGTACCCTTTTATTTTGTACCTTACATTTAGTTGTTTTGGGTTGGGTACAACTCCGTCCATTTTTTAATGGAATTTTAACCTCCAACGTGAAAAGGCATTGCGGAGAACCACTATTCACACTCCTCCAGCTTTGTTTTGTAGCTGCCTTGTAGCTGTTTCGCAGCCGCTTTTGTTGGAAGCATATGAAGAGTACGACATCTAGTTCCAAGTTGACATCTTGCAGGAAAACATTACGTCACTTTTCAAGATCCGTAATACCCCTTCTGGAGGCCAGGTATTTTCTGGACTTTAGGGTCAAAATCTCTTTTGGTGTTGAAATAAAAAACTAATGTGTACTATCAAAGCTTGGGCTTTTCGGATTTTTTACGAGGATTGATCTAGAAATAACGTCCCCAAAGAGCTTCTACCATACTGGAAGATGCGAGGCGAAACCCCTCCTCTTTAGAGTTCCCATTTTTAATCCCACCAAGTGCGAGAGTCGTTCCATAATTTCGCTTTCTGCAGACCAGGACTCATCAAGTCAAGTAGCTGTATATTTTTAGACACTACTGACTTGACTTTTTGTACTCAGTGTCAATACTAGGTCAATTCCTTTGCCTCAAAATATAAAATTAGCAATCACAATAGTAGTATCTGATGAATACGCGTTTCATAGTCAGCGTAAACCGAATATTGGAGATCACGATGTAATGCTGGAATCCATACTTACATTGTAACAATTAACGTATCAAGAATCAAGATGCAGTTTCAGAGCTTCTTACCTGCAAAAGAAAAGATTGTATTGAAAATTTTGCTTTGCTCATTCGGCATAACGACCAAATGCTCACTAATGGTCGCAACTGCTACTTAGGCTTTGTGAATTGAGCACTCAATTTTTCTGACTACACTCATTCAAACATATGGGCTTTCTCCTAACTCCGTTTTAGATGTACACGTCTTCAGAGATCTCTGGGAAGTACAAAACGAAGCAGAACAAAAAATGTATCAAGCTCATCCAAAGGTGCTCCGTAAACGAAAACATAGGAAAGTAAGAATCTGATTCATATCTAGTTCCTCCATATTTGTCGCCTAGTTATAAAAAAATGCGTCGAGCAGATTGACTCCGCACTTCCCATCAGTTTATTCAGGATTATGATCAGCGTTCTGAGAGAAAAATTAGTTATGAACAAGTGTAACAGAAAAAAAGTCAGCCAAACAGACCAATACACATTTTTTCACCGCCCTACCGGTAGTACCGCCCATCTGGCAACGTCGCCCCTCTACTATACCTGACCG